GGGTCAGCGCATCAATGATTGCCAATTCGGTTTCGTTTTGATCAATGCTTTTACTCTCATTAACAATACAAATACAAGCCCACACAAAGGATACAACTACAATTGCCAGCGCAATCCAGAAATAATGCCAGCCCATAATATCTCTAACACAATCATAAATGCTATCATGCTATAGGTGAGGGCATACGACCTGGTAGATGTAGTCTGGTCTCAGGCTTCGCAGGGTCGAGCTGCGACTTCGATGTTTCGGCAGTCAGGATCAGGTACAGCGTGTCAGCATCTCGGACAGAGCAGGGATGCAGATCCTCTGTTCCAGGTCTGGAAGCTCCTGCGTCTCGGGCAGAGCTTCAGCAGGTCATCTTGACGGAGTCGTCAAGCGACGTCATCTGTCTGTAGTCTTCTCCTTTTATACTTTAAGTCATTTCTAATCTAATACATCCATATGCTCTATCTAAGTTAACTCCTCAACACTCGCATTACCTTACTTCAAACTCTTAATCTTATGTCACAGCAGTCATGTGTCACGGCACACGGTCGGGGGGGGGAATTCCCCACATGTCACAGCAAACTCTTATCTGTCTTAACACTCAGCATCCAGGCTGTCAGCTTCCAAGCTGTCAGCTATCAAGTCTCACTTAATTTCACTCTAGTTTTACTTTGCTTAATTCTGCTTTTTGTGGGTCACAAAATCCTATGTTTTACATGTTCACTACAGGCCTGCACTCTTAATGTGAATGACAGAGAAAAGCAATGTTTTGCTGTCGTCTTGAGGCAGGGTCTTGCTATGTAGTGAAGGCTGGCCCTGAATCAGCATTGGAAAAGGAAATTACAAAGACCCAGATGGAGTCCTTAGAAAATATAGCAGTGTGTGTTCTTGCTACGAGTTAAAAACAAGTCAAATTCCTAATATGTCTTTGGGTAAATTTTTAAAAAATGCTCCATTATTTCTTAAACTTTTAAATCTTGACATCTTTTGGGGGAGGCGCAGTTTGAGACAGGGTCTTGATAGGTATGTCGTACAGGCCTGCCTTGAACTCACTTACGCAGTTTACCTGGCCTCACACTCATGGCAATCCTCCTGCCTCAGCCTCCCAAGTGCTAGGGTTATAGGTGTGTCCCACCACAAGCCGGCTTCTTGTCGTTTATGAAGGATGACTTTTTTTTTTCTTTTTTTCAGTGCTGGGGATTGAACCCAGTGCTAGTGAGCTACATCCCCACCCAGAATGATTTTTTTTTTTTTTTTTTTTTTTTTTT